TGTTGGTTTATTTTTATGATTTTGAAGACAAGTAGTTAAATTTATCAAAAGCTAAATAATAAAAAAATTATTAATTGCTATTCATTGCATATTTATATTCAAAACATGAATAAATGTGTGCTACAAAATGTCATGAAAATGTACTACTTTTAACATCAATAATGAAAAATATATTATATAAATATGCAAAAAATTATTATTAAATAAATTTATAACGTGCATATGTCATAAATAAAAAATAAATACGAAATATGCTGAGTTGAATAAAAATTATTATTCATACAATGTGGAGGAAAAATGAGGCTACTAACTACAAATAAACAAATGAATGAATGGATGCATAAACTTGAAGCAGCTGAGACATTTAAACTTAGATACGTGTGCTGATCCTTGTATACAGTATAATAATTAAATGTAGGCACTCGTATTTTTATTATATATTAATATTCACTGAATAAAAATTTTTACAGCAATTTAGCGTTAGTTCAGATTTTTCGAACTGAGAATTAATTCAGTGCAAAAATTTAGAGAGATGTCGTTGAGTTCATAGTCTGAGAAATTTTTGCTACAGAATTTTTACTTTGTATTCATCTTATAATAGCATAAAAAGTACTTTAAAATATTGGAAATTAATATGCAAATTTGAGACAGTGCTAATAGCAATGTGAACTGTCTAAAGCTTCAAGTCTTATTTTGCGAGTACTGTTTTATGAGTATTTATAAATGATTTACACTTTTTAATTTTTAATTTGCAAATGATAGAAAAATTTTGAAAGTGTGGAAGAATTTCTTTCACGTCTGCCACATCAAATAATTATACTGCAATAGAGTAGAGAATCGCACATCACTTCAGCAATTTTCAATATGACAAAATATGGAAATGTCGTGAGATCGGAGCACTTTCTTCCAGAACTTTTTCAAAGAGCAAAAAAAATTACATTAAATATATTAAACTTCTGAAGAGAGCATTTTTCACGGAAACGGTGCGTAACAGCACGTTTACTTCTTTTCTTTCCTTCTCGCTTAGAATGCAACGAAAAGCATTTACTTTCGACTCATTACCAAATACAATCAATTACTTTGCAAACATTTTGAAGTTGAATTAAAAAATTCCTACGAAAACTCTTCGTTGAGAAGACTTACTTGAATATTTTTGTGAAGAAACTGAATGTGCCAGTATGAGTAGAAGAAAGATGTGTCGAGAGATGCAAAATTAATAAAAGTAAAATAAGAACAATTTTAAAATTTGTGCAAAAGTGTGATAGAAATGAATAAGTGTGCTTACGTTTGTTACATTGCGATTGAGCGATATTTCCATTTTGTACGACAAACAAGAGTTAGACAAGTGATATGGCGAAGTGATCGGATAAAGACGGATATTGAAACAGAAATGTGAATCAGAAAATTGGTTCTGGAAAGTAAGTATGAGATATCATCCAAATTAATTGGACTGAACAATGCAGAATATAAAAATCCAACAACTGAAATGGAATAATGAACCCAGAGATTAATTTGTCGACATAGTAAAATGAGCTAATTTCAGTGCACGGTACCACCACTTAAAGAGTCAATTATTTTTTGGAATTCAGTCTGCAGCAGATTCACAAGTTTTTCATCTATAATCTATAAAATATTCCAAAATGCAATCCAACCAACACGTCACTCATGTAGTAGTACATATATATAATGACCCTATAGGTCACATAGCTAAATTCTCCAATTATTTTATGCTTTTCCTAGCTGGAATTTAATGCGGTCCACTTTCCAGTGTGCAATTTTCATGTCTTGTAAATGTGCTTGCAAAGAATACAAAATTGCTTACATAACGTATTTGTTCACAATTTGTTTGTTATTTAGCTTTGACATATTCATTGCAAGAAGGTGAATGTTCGCACTTTTGAAATTAAAAATAGATACAAACTTGCTTTCGTAAAGAATGAAAGTTAAGTTCACTCTTTACGAAAACAATTGACGAACTATCAGAAGATTTTTTTCCACTATACATTATACAATTTCATTATTTTGCCTTCTGGAGTTCGCAACTGAAGTTGTTCATTGAGAGCGGATTTTACACGCTGAAACTTTTCTTTGCCATTAGTTTTGCTTGAAGTGACATTGAGACGGTCGTACAAGTCGATTCGTTTACGGATTGAAAACCGATCATTCACTGATCGATCAGAATGCGGATCCGGTGGGGCAATACTACATGGGGATACAGTGCTAGATGCACTATATCTCGAGGTAGTAGTACTACTAGCTGACAGCAAGTCATTATTATTGTTATTACTAGACATTGGACAGGATCTTCTGCAAACATCACTCATAAATGATAGTTGAAAAAAGTTTTGCAGCTGAAAGTTTATCTTTACTAGACATTGGCATCATCTGATAGATAAGTCAGGTTTCTGCTCTCTTGTGGCTATTTTTGGAAAAAATTTAAATGGTTGAGGGAACCGTTTTTTCAATAAAAGACCTCTGATGCTCACTGCTGAATTGATTATATGCTTCACCTGTTATTGCTGTTTGTATTCAAGTATTCTTGCTCATTCCACAATTCGAGACCAGATGATGGAGAGCGGTGGTTATTTGAGTCATCATCGATTTTATTAATTGCCTCACTGATCTGTTCCAATCGTTCCTCGATATTACGCAACGTATTCATATCATTTACTGAGTTCAGATATTTAGAAAATCCAATAAGCAAGAAGTACGATAGAATGGATTCATATTTGAAAAGAGTCTTTCAATTATAGAACTGGAAGTTAGATTGGAAACTAATTTAAGAAATGGCGAAAATTTATAATTAGTAATCAACTATTTTTTTTGTTAATACAATTTTTTGTAATACTCCTAAAAAAGTATAGCTTTATTGATCCACTTGTGTGTCGTCTCTTACACACCAGAGTAGTCAAAAATTATAATAATTATAGTATTCCTTGAAAAAATTCAAATTGTGGCTAATATTTATTTATGCGTTTTTTATTTATGCTTATATTTATTATGCTAGATTTCTCCGGCAAATGATATTACTTAAAATCGGGCGATAAGTAATGAATGTAGTAGTAGTTCACGTAAGCATTATTACTACAAAAGTTAGCTTTGCAATATTTTGATAAAATACATAATAAAGGTGCTACTTGGGCAAGTGGACTTTGCTTTTACAATGGATTTGTGTAGAATAGTTTCTCCTTCATTGTGTGCTTGCTGACTTCGCTTAAATCGGATAACAATAATGCTAACATTGCCAGAATATTCAAATGTTTGTAGCATATCCTGCAAGCAGTAAAAGTAGTGACTAGAATTAAGTTTTTGAACAATTCTTTTACTGTCTTATTTGCATTTTTGAATTGAAACAGGGTCAAAGTTCATTTAACCTGCAATTTCTTTGCTGCTATATGTGGATTATATATGCCACGAATACTGTCTATAGCGTTTTGTGGAGAAATATACTTCCACAGTGCTCCCGCACCAATCACAATAAATTCGTCAGCTTCAGTAAGTGTTACTGTCTCCTGAAGATTTATTTTATGGTATTTATTTCATTGTTAATGCAGCAAGTTAGCATGAACTCTCGAAAACTCTCAAAATTCAGCCTTTGCTCATATTTATTTTTATGTTAATTACGTTTTTTAATGCATATCAGCAGTAATCATTGACTTGTCATAGATTTGAGGCTTTCTAAAATCACTGTTTTCAAAGCCTTTAACGCCATCTATTACTCAAAGATTAATACTATATTTATATTACTATTCGTATAAATTCAGTTTCGTTCCAAAAATAATATGGTGTTTTCCATTTTTCGTTTCTTGTCCACAAGAAATTCGAAAGTTCGATTTATAAAATTCAAAAATTTTAAAATTTAACCTGGAAAGTTTTTGGTAAAACGGCTGGATAAAGAAAGGAAAATCCGAGTGAATTTGCTGAAAGACATATGCCGTCAATGACATTATCCTAAAATGTAAGCATATAATTTTTGTATGAAACGAAGATTATTTTTTGAGAGAGAAAACATCTGGAAATAATTTGTTAATAAAATATTGACAATAATTAAATTTTAACATTTAAGTGACTGAATTTTCGTTTTTTTGTTTTTGTTTTCAGCGAGAAATTATTTGTTTGATTTATCTGCATGCATAATTCATTCTACAGACCTGAGTAATTGTGGCGTTACCAGTGCGTAACTGAGTGTAGTCTTCGCATGTTATCATGAGCGGTCGTTCAGGTAATTGAAAAGCGTTTCCAGAACGGCACAAAACAGCTCGAGTGCTTCCAACGCAAGCGTAAAAGAGTTGACGTTGTTCAAGTTTAAGAAGCATAGCCGCTGCACCGAGACGTTCACCAGTAGCACCGAGGTGTTCATGAGCATAAATCAACGCCATTTTCAAACTTTTTTCAGCTGATGAAGTTTGAAATCTCTTGAAAATAAAAAAATATCGAATTATTTTAAATTTGTTGAGATTTTTCTCCCTGCATGCTATCATTAAAAATGCTTTTTTTTTTTTAAATTTTTGTCCATTTTTGATCTTATTCTCGAAAATATGATAAGAATTCAATCAAAATTAAACATTTCAGTTTATTTTTTCCGAGAGTAATTGATTTTTTCTATTAAATACCAAAGAGAAGAAGAAGCTAAATTATTATCAGCAAAGATTTTTTTGGCTAATAAATTATTGCTGAATCTTTTTCATGAGCATAATATGTTGATAAAATAACTGTGCATGATAGTCTCTTACTTTGTTCTTTTGAGACGTAAAAAACGAATTCAGAAGCGAAGTAGTGAAAAAGCATAAATTGTTTGTAATTAATTATTTTAATTACTTGTTTTTGGAAAAAGTCAGTGATTTTATCGATTACGAGCGTAGCAATGTGATCGTTGTTTCCACCATCAACGATGCCGAAAATACTTTGCAAATTTGCATTTGGTCGAATTTGTCTAATACATAGCCTGAAACGTCACTTTCAATTATTATTTTTTGATAGACTTTAAAATTATTTGAAATGATTACTTGCAGTTTGCTTACATTCGTGAGATGATTTCATATTGTCGAGCATTCAAAATTTCTCCAAATTTCGCTCGAAAATAATTGTGATAGTTTGTGGGATTTTGGAAGCTAATGCGTGAATGCTAATCATTGAGTTCATTAACAAAAAGTTTTAATTTCTATAGATTAAAGCAGTTCAATCTGACGCTCATTAATTTTTAAAGTTTGGTTTCAAATTACCGATTAATTTGGTGATTCAGTTAT